TTCCCACAGGCGATGGGTCCCATTCCCTCCAGAAAGAAGGCAGCTGGCAGCCCCCAGAGGAGCGGTGAGGTCCTTGACTTCCAACTCCAAGGATGGCGACTTTTCTTTCTTTTTTTTTTTTTTTTTTGAGACGGAGTCTCGCTCTGTCGCCCAGGCTGGAGTGCAGTGGCACGATCTCGGCTCACTGCAAGCTCTGCCTCCCGGGTTCACGCCATTCTCCTGCCTCAGCCTCCCGAGTAGCTGGGACTACAGGCGCCCGCCACCTCGCCCGGCTAGTTTTTTTGTATTTTTTAGTAGAGACGGGGTTTCACTGTGTTAGCCAGGATGGTCTCAATCTCCTGACCTCGCGATCCACCCGTCTCGGCCTCCCAAAGTGCTGGGATTACAGGCTTGAGCCACCGCGCCCGGCCGGATGGCGACTTTTCAACTAATTTTTAAATGACCTGAAAGTTGCCGGGTGTGGGTGTTTCACACCTGTAATCCCAGCACTTTGGAAGGCTGAGGTGAGCAGATCACTTGAGATCAGGAGTTTGAGACCAGCCTGGCCAACATGGTGAAATCCCGTCTCTACTAAAATTACAAAAATTAGCTGGGTGTGGTGGCAGACAACTGTAATCCCAGCTACTTGGGAGGCTGAGGCCAGAGAATCTCTTGAACTCAGGTGGTGGAGGCTGCAGTAAACCAAGACCGTGCCACTGCACTCCAGCCTGGGTGACAGAGTGAGACTCCATCTCAAATAAAATAAAATAAAATAATCTGAAAGTCACTGACATGGTGGCTGTTAGGAGGACACGGTGAATCACAGGCACTTAGCAGTTGCCAGGGGCACTATGTTCCTCCAGACCAGGGAGGCCTCACCCAGAGGGGGTGCCTCTTTGGGGCTCATTCCTGTGCCTACCCACAGCCTGATCCCTTGCTCCTGTTTAGCTGCCCCTGAGGGCAGGGCCTGGCAAGAGGGTAAAGGGTGAGGTAGGGGTCAGGCTGGCTGCTCTGGGACCACCTGGAACTACGGGCTAGAGCCACAGGGCTTACAGAAAAGGGATCTGCCCCAGGACATTTGAATAGCCGAGCACAATTACCCCCAAGGTCCTCTGCTATCAGCAACAGATACGAACCAGGTAGATCATTTACTGAGTTTTGATTAAAAAAAAAAAAAACTATAACAAATGAAAAAAATAAAAATAAAAGCAAAGCAATTGCTGGAATTGATTTTTTCCTGTGTTTTTTCAAAAAAAGTTATTCGTGAAGGAAAAAATAAAAATAACTTTCCCACCAAACACACACACAAAGTCTAGAAAAACACATTCTAAACTGTGGAAAATAGCTGTCTTGGGGTTGTGGGATTACAGGTGATTTCTTTCTTTCTTTCTTTCTTTCTTTCTTTCTTTCTTTCTTTCTTCTTTCTTTCTTTTTCTTTTTTTTTTTTTTTTTTTTGAGATAGGGTCCCACTCTGTCGCCCAGGCTGGAGTGCAGTGGTGCGATCTTAGCTCACTGCAACCTCCGCCTCCCAGGTTCAAGCGATTCTTCTGCCCCACCCCTCCCTAGTAGCTGAAATTTTAGGTGCGCACCACCAAGCCCAGCTAATTTTTGTATTTTTAGTAGAGATGGGCCTTCACCATGTTGGCCAGACTGGTCTCAAACTCCTGACTTCAAGTGATCTGCCCACCTCAGCCCTCCCAAAGTGCTGGGATTATTGGCATGAGCCATTGCACCCAGACAAATTTCTGATTTAAAAAAAAATCATATTTCTAATTTTGCCATACTATAAATACACTATTTGTATAAAAATACTTTTATTTGGCCGGGCGTGGTGGCTCAAGCCTGTAATCCCAGCACTTTGGGAGGCCGAGATGGGCGGATCACGAGGTCAGGAGATCGAGACCATCCTGGCTAACACGGTGAAACCCCGTCTCTACTAAGAAATACAAAAACTAGCCGGGCGAGGTGGCAGCGCCTGTAGTCCCAGCTACTCGGGAGGCTGAGGCTGGAGAATGGCGTGAACCCGGGAGGCGGAGCTTGCAGTGAGCCGAGATCGCGCCACTGCACTCCAGCCTGGGCTACAGAGCGAGACTCCATCTCAAAAAAAAAAAAAAAAAATACTTTTATTTGATTTTATTTATTTTGAGACTGAGTTGCCCAGGCTGGAGTGCAGTGGCGCGATCTCAGCTCACTGCAACCTCCACCTCCCAGGTTCAAGTGATTTTCCTATCTCAGCCTCCCGAGTAGCAGGGATTACAGGCACCCGCCACCACACCCGTCTAATTTTTGTATTCTTTTTTTTTTTTTTAGTAGAGATGGGGTTTCATCATGTTGGCCAGGCCGGTCTCAAACTCCTGACCTCAGGTGATCCACCTGCCTTGGCCTCCCAAAGTGCTAGGATTACAGGTGTGAGCCACCGTGCCTGGCCCAAAAATACTTTTAAAAATAAAAGTTTTTTTTTTTTTTGAGACGGAGTCTCACTCTGTCCCCCTTGCTGGAGTGCAGTGGCCGGATCTCAGCTCACTGCAAGCTCCGCCTCCCGGGTTCAGGCCATTCTCCTGCCTCAGCCTCCCGAGTAGCTGGGACTACAGGCGCCCGCCACCTCGCCCGGCTAGTTTTTTTGTATTTTTTAGTAGAGACGGGGTTTCACTGTGTTATCCAGGATGGTCTCGATCTCCTGACCTCGTGATCCACCCGTCTCGGCCTCCCAAAGTGCTGGGATTACAGGCTTGAGCCACCGCGCCCGGCCAGTTTTTTTTTTTAAATGGAAAGAAAAACAGATCTTAGGAACGATCCTCTGTGTGCCTTTTGCAGAAGGACCCTTGGCAGCTGCTGGTTGCAGGATGTGAGGTTGTGGGCGTGAGGGCCACACACCCTGTGTAGGAGCCTAGGGCTTTTCCTGGATCACAGTCACTCCCTCTGCCTCACTGGTCTCCGCTGCAGGTGGCCTTTGTGGTTGGGTGACATTCTAGTTGGTTAACATGTGCGTTTGTTTGGGTGTTCTGTCCTCAGGCATCCGAAGGCGTCCCCATGAAGTTCTTTACCAAACTGGACCAGCTCATCGAGTTTTACAAGAAGGAAAACATGGGGCTGGTGACCCATCTGCAATACCCTGTGCCGCTGGAGGAAGAGGACACAGGCGATGACCCTGAGGAGGACACAGGTAGGGAGGGAGGGACAGGACGGCAGGAGGTACTTTTGGGAACTTGCCCTGCACCCACCTTGAGTGCTTGTAGATTAGGTGAGTCCTATTATCAGAGGGAGATTGTTGGCATGGGGTTAAGGACAAGTTAGGAACACAGGCTCTGGGGTCAGGCAGACACGGGTTAAAATTTCTCCTCCCCAGCTTATTAGCTGTGTGACCTTGGGGAAATTACCTGACCTCTCTGAATCACAGACTTCTCTTTAAAGAGACAGTAAAAATAAGGCTGGGCTTGCTGGCTCATGCCTGTAACCCCAGAACTTTGGGAGGCCAAGGTGGGAAGATCGCTTGAGGCCAGGAGTTTGAGACCCTCCTGGGCAACAAAGGCAACCCTGTCTCTGCAAAAAGCGTTTTAAAAAATTTATTCAGGCATGGTGGCTCAGGCCTGTAGTCCTAGCTACTCAGGAGGCGGAGGCAGGAGGATTCCTTGAGTCTAGCAGTTCAAGGTTGCAGTGAGCCGTGATTGCACCACTGCACTCTAGCCTGGGTGACAGAAAGAGACCTTGTCTAAGAAAAAAAAAAAAGAGAGAGAGAGAGAGAGAGAGAGAAAGAGAGAGAGTAAAAAGGCTCCACTTCCTCTGCTTCACTTGACTGGTCTTTAAAAAGACAGAGAGAGAGAGAATAGCAATAGTACCTGCCTCTCACGGTATCCCAAGGATCAAATGAGTTGAGAAATGTAGCACACAGAGCCTGGCACATATTAATAGTAAGCACTCAATAAATGCAGCTATGGTCATTAGTATCATTACAATCCGCTGAATTTCAATGCGAGGAGAGTGAAGGAGAAGACCCTTGCACCTAACCGGGAGGATGAGGAAGGTGTGTCTTTATGTCATCATTAAAAGGGGGTGGGGGAAATATAACCCCTAAAAATATGTTGAAAAAAATGTACAGTCCCAGCTGGGTGCGGTTGCTCATGCTTGTAATCCCAACACTTTGGGAGACTGAGGCGGGTGGATCACGAGGTCAGTAGATCGAGACTATCCTGGTCAACATGGTGAAACCCTGTGTCTACTAAAAATACAAAAATTAGCCAGGTGTGGTGGTACATGCCTGTAGTTCCAGCAGCTTGGGAGGTTGAGGCAGGAAAATCGCTTGAACCCAGGAGGTGGAGGTTGTAGTGAGCCAAGATTGCAGCACTGCACTCCAGCCTGGCAACAGGGAGACTCCGTCTCAAAAAAAAAAAAAAAGAAAAAAATTATACAGTCCCTAAAAAGTATGTGAGACTTAGGGTGCCCTTTACACCATAGGGACAAAGACCGATAGAGCAAGAGTCAGATGGAGAAAGTCTTGCAGAGAAGGAGCTTACCTGGGGATGTCCCACTTTTCCCCTCAAAGATTTACTGAGAATATACCTAAGGGAATAGAAATCACTTTGTTACAAAGACACATCTGCGTATGTTCACTGCAGCACTATTTGTAATAACAAAGACATGGAATCAACCTAAATGCCCATCAGTGGTAGACTGGATAAAGAAAATGGGGTACATGTACACCAAGGAATACTATGCAGCCAGCAAAAAGAACGAGATCATGTCCTTTGCAGGAACATGGATGGAACTGGAGGTCGTTATCCTTAGCAAACAAACACAAGAACAGAAAACCAGACACCACATGTTCTCACTTAAGTAGGAGAAAAATGATGAAAACACATGGACACAAAGAAGGGAACAGCGCACACTGGAGCCTTCCTGAAGGTGGTGGGGTGGGAGGAAGGACAGGATCAGAAATAACTATTGGGTACTAGGCTTAATACCAGGATGATGAAATAATCTGTACAACAAACCCCATGACGTAAGTTTACCTATGTAATAAACCTGCACAGGTACCCCTGAACTTAAAATACAAGTTAAAAAAAAAGAAACAAAACAAAAAAAAAGGCTTATTTCCTAAAAGAAAAGCATGAGATACCTAACCGGGCCCCTCAGTTGCCCAGGGCTCTTCCTGAATTCCAGCAGGTGGAGACTGCCAGGTCCCCCAGGCTCTCCCCCAAGAGAGGAAAGATTTGTCCAGATGTACTGAGACCCTTGCCTGGCTCCTGCCTGTTCTGGGGGCTTACTGCAGGCATCCTTTCTCTCCCTCACCTGTGGGCTGGCTTGTGGGCCACCAGGGCCCCCTGCTTCCTCCCACCCTCATGGAAACGCCCTTTTCATGGTTGTGCAGCTCTTCATTTCCAAAAGGACCGCAGCTCCATGGAGGCTGAAGGGGTCCTAGGCAGGCCCTGTCCCTTCTGGCCTCCCTGGTCTGAGTGAGCGCTGCCCTCTGGAATCAGGAAGGTCAGGCTGTGGAAGAGCTAGGGCTGACCTGTCCCATTGTGAGCCCGAGGTCACTCACCAGCACCGCGCCCTGGCCGCACCTGCCCCAGCTGCCCCCAGGCGCCCAGGGCCATGCTGAGAAGCTGTCCTGCAGAAACGTCCTCCACGCTAACCAGCCTCACTCCCTTCGGGCCACCCACCCCAGCTAGTTGGGCCCCTCTGGGCATGGCTGTCTGGAGGAAGATCCCGACAAGTTTCTGTGAGGGCCGAAAAAAGAACCTCAGTCTCATGACTGCTGGCTTCACTTCCCCAAACGAGGTCGCCCAGTTGTCGGCTTGAACCAGAGCAATGCTACATGAGGCACCCGCAGTCCAAGAGGTCTGCTTGGGCCCAGGGCACTGTCAGACCGTGAAGCTCAAAGCAGACTCCTAGTTCTCTTCAGAACCCCAGAGAGAGGAAGTGAAGGGCCCGTTCTCTAAAGAGGAGGTCCCCCGGGGCCCACTGTGGTTGGGCCAGGGGCAGCTGCTATGTGTGGGAAGAGGCTCAGACAGAGCTCTGGACCTGAGGGACTCAGCGACCTTTATCCATTCGTGGTATGTACAGGATGAACCTTCTCCTAAAGGGGATGGGTGGGCTCCCACTACCAGGCCAAGTTCAAGTCATTTGTTGAATGTCTCTGAGTGAAGGGCACCCCCTTGCTTTCTTTTGTGTGTTTCTGAGGGTCTGGGGGAGGAGAGAAGGAAGGGCAGAGGCTGTAGAGAGGGGACCAGGGAGAGAGGGAGAGGGGCAGTGTGGCTAGGCCTGCCTGCCTCCTTACCCCTGGTTCCCTCCTGTGGTTTTGGCCTATTCTGGGAACTAGGCCTCTGCCCAGTCCAGGACTCAGCCATCATGAGGCACCTGTCTCAGCCCCTGAAAGCCTGAGAGCCAGACCCATCCTGCTCACCTGCCTGCCACTGCTGGCTTAGTCCGCCCAAGGTCAGCAGCGCTGCAGGCCTTTCAGGCCCTCCAATGGAGCAGGGCCTTCTGGCCCCAGCAGGTGTTTGCTGATGGCCAAGGTGGGGCAGACACTGTGCTAGCCAGGGCCCTGTGGCAAGAGGCTCTCCCTCCAGGAGGGAGTCAGTGAGGGACGTGGGGACGCAGAAGGAGATCGATAACCTGGGTGTCGCGGCCTGGACCCCGTGGGGCTGCGGTGAAGGCCAGGTTGCATGCACAGTGTCCTCACCAATGGCCTTCCTGCTGTTCTCTCCGGTAGAAAGTATTGTGTCTCCCCCCGAGCTGCCCCCGAGAAACATCCCTCCGTCTGCTGGCTCCTGTGAGGCCAAGGAGGTTCCTCTTTCAAACGAGAATCCCCGAGCGACCGAGACCAGCCGGCCGAGCCTCTCCGAAACGTTGTTCCAGCGACTGCAAAGCATGGACACCAGTGGGTGAGTCCCCACTCAAGTCCAGCCGGGGCTTCATCTGCAGTGAGCCCAGCCAGGGCCGGGCTGGATGGCTCGGGTTTGGATCCTAGTTATGGGCCTGGTGACCAGAGGGAGGTGGGAAAGTCTCCGGAGAAGGGTGCTTGTCAGCTTGCACCTCAGAGGCCTTTGCACCATCGGCTTCAAGAAGGCCAGGGGCGTGGGCCTTAACCGGAAAAGCGCTCCACGGGGGTGGGGGAGCATTGTATCTCCAGGCACAGCCCGGCATAGTATAGGCACTCACTGGATATGTGCTACATTAATTAATAAGTTAGCACCCGGTAATCTCCATGCCTTACTAAATGTAACTTTGTTTTGTTTCTTTGTGAGAAGCGCTCCCCTGCCCTCCAAAGAAATCCTAATGACAGGGCTGAAGCCGCATTTCCAACTTGAAGGATCCATCTGAGGCTGCCAGGGCTGCCCTCCTACTCTCTCACTTGGCAAAATGTGAAGTAGATGCCGATGGGACACATATGCCACCGGGTTGCTAAGATACTTGGCGTGTTCCTATTTCCACCTGGACATACCCATTGGTTCTTCCCTGGGGTCTCCAGGCTGAGTTCTGTGCACACTCCTTGAATTATTTGTGCTGTTTATCAAATAGCCAAATATCCAGTGTTGCCACTATGTTGATTATCTCAATATATGTGTCTAAATAACAGATGTTTAAAAGTATTCCACATAGGCTGGGCATGGTGGCTCATTCCTATAATCCCAGCACTTTGGGAGGCCGAGGTGGATGGATCACCTGAGTCCAGGAGCTCAAGACCAGACTGACCAACATGGCAAAACCCCTTCTCCACTAAAAATACAAAAATTAGCTCGGCATGGTGGTGGGCACCTATAGTCCCAGCTATTCGGGGGGCTGAGGCAGGAGAATAGCTTGAACCTGGGAGGCGGAGGTTGCAGTGAACCGAGATAGCACCACTGCACTCCAGCCTGGGCAACAAGAGAAAAACTGCGTCAAAAAAAAAAAAAAAAAATTCCACATAGAGCCCATTGTTTAATTCCCCAGGGTTTCCATTTCTTCCCAGGTTTGGATGCTGAATGCAGTAAACTGCATGGGGAAGAGTCGGGGACGCCCCATGGTTCCACCTGCTGACCTCTCCTCCTAAGGCTCCTACACCTCCTGCCAACTCCATCTCCTAATCAGCCCCTCCACCCTGGTTATGGGCTTCTGCCTCAGTGGGGCCAGCAGAGGCGTGAAGCGGAGCTTCCAGGCAGCCTTCCAGGAGAAGTTAGGGTCGGGGCGTGGGCTGAGGCTCAGGGGCAGAGGGGCCTGCTTTATCTATCTTAGCTTCTCATGGCAGTGGAATCTTCCTAAAACTTCTGTCTAGAGATGGGAATGAGTGAAGGAGCCATGTGCAGAGACCAAGGAAAGCGGCAACCCAGAGCCGCCCTCCATTCTCAGGGTCAAGGAAAACTGGGACTCCACACTGTGTTTTAAAATCAGTCTATTTCGCTTGTCAAGTTGCTTTGCACATAGAGGATTGCCTTTTGATTATTTTTCTTTAAATGACAACTTGCACAGTCTTTCCTGCAAGTTAATTAGCTCTCATCAGTTAGGTCTTAGTTAATAGGTTAATTATCACGTTTCGAAGTAAAATTAGCCTTCTCAAATAAACATAGTTTACATCTTTATGTCAACACTTTTCTACAACAAACTTTTGTTATTTGAGACGGAGTTTTGCTCTTATCCACCAGGCTGGATTGCAATGGCACAATCTCAGCTCTCCGCAAACTCCGGCTCCCGGAATCAAGTGATTCTCCTGCTTCAGCCTCCCGAGTAGCTGGGATTACAGCCATGTGCCACCACAACCGCTAATTTTGTATTTTTGGTAGAGATGAGGTTTCTCCATGCTGGTCAGGCTAGTCTCGAACTCCCAGCCTGAGGTGATCTGCCCTCCTCGACCTCCCAAAGTGCTGGGATTATAGGCGTGAGCCACTGTGCCCGGCCTACAACAAACATTTTAACAAATAGAACTGCCTGTAGTACAGACTCATGGTATCAAAGTTACAAGGCAATAGTCATTAGAGCTGTTAAGATACATATTTTAATACAGGGGTCACCAACCCTGGCCTGTTAGGAACTGGGTGGCAGCTGGAGGTGAGCGGCGGGCGAGCGAGTGTTACCACCTGAGCTCTGCCTCCTGTCAGATCAGCGGTGCCATTAGATTCTCATACGAGTGTGAACCCGACTGTGAACTGTGCATGTGAGGGATCTAGGTTGCACAACCCTTAGGAGAATCTAACTAATGCCTGATGATCTGAGATGGAGCAGTTTCCTCCCAAAACCATCCCCCCACCATCCGTCTGTGGAATAATTGTCTTCCACAAAACCGGTCCCTTGTGCCAAAAAGGTTGGGGACTACTGTTTTAATACTATAGAAGAGATGTTTGTTCCTTTTAGTAAACAGACTAAGGCAGACACTGGATTTCTATGATGTCAAGACCCAGAATAAATACAGATGAACTTAAATGTAAATGTTCTCTTCTCAATCTAACAAGTCAAATGGGTAAGCCAGTCCTGTTCGGTATTTTTTTTTTTTTTTTTTGAGACAGAGTCTCACTCTGTCACTCAAGCTGGAGCACAGTGCAGTGAACTGGGCTCACTGCAACCTCTACCTCCCGGGTTCAAGCAATCCTTCTGCCTCAGCCTCCTGAGTAGCTGGGACTACAAATGCATGCCACCACACCCAGCTAATTTTTGTATTTTAGTAGAGACAGGGTTTCACCATGTTGGCCAGGCTGGCCTTGAGCTCCTGACCTCAGGTGGTCTGCCCACCTCTGCCTCCCAAAGTGCTGGGATTATAGGCATGAACCACCATGCCTGGCAATTCCTGTCCAATCTTAAGAGCAACGGCTTTTCATTCTTTCACAGATCCCACAGGAAAATCCTTGTGTCCTTTAGTTTCAACTTGATTACATATCAAGCCTGGAACAAAAATCTTTAAGGCGGCGGGGTGGGGTGGCTCACACCTGTAATCCTAGCACTTTGGGAGGCCAAGGTGGGTGGATCACCTGAGGTCAGCCTAGCCAACATGGTAAAACCCCTCATCTACTAAAAATACAAACATTAGCTAGGTCTGGTGGTGCACGCCTGTGTTGCCAGCTACCCAGGAGGCTGAGGCAGGAGAATCGCTTGAACTCGGGAGGTGGAGGTTGCAGTTAACTGAGATCTTGCCATTGCACTCCAGCCTGGGTGACAGGGTGAGACTCTGTCTCAAAAAAAAAAAAAAAAAATTAAGGCTTGTAATAATTTTTTTTACACACAGGTAATTAACATGCTTAAGCCTCAGTTTTCTGATTTGTGAAACAGGAATAATTAGTAATAATATCTGAGTCATAAAATTGATTTGTGGGTTAATGGAGAAAATGAGCGTAAAGTGCTTAGCGTAGTGTCTGACATGTTGTGTTCAGGAAATACTTGCTATGATTACAATTTCCATCATTATGGGAACAAACACTCAAGCGTTACCCAGAACAAAAGGTGCTGGAAGATAGAATGCAGAGGGCTGATGCGACTTTAGTGGGTGCCCCTCGTGGGACTGACCTGGGCTCTCTGCCTGTGCCTCTGCCACCAGGGTTGATCTGCACAGTAAACAAACCCTGCCTTCAACCCCATTCACTCTGTACACTGAAGGGTTGGAGCAGATTCGACACAGCAAAGTCGGCCACTTGCACTACCTCATTCCGTATCCCCAGCCCCATCACTAATCACTCAGACTCCCCCACAGAGCCTGGGATGACTCCAGACCCTCCAAACACAGTGCCTTAGGTAGCCTTTGGCTGTGAGATTGCAGAGTGCATGTGAGCTAAAGCCATTTGCTATCTCTAGATCCCATCATCCTTCCAGCCCTCAGATCCTATCTTTAGAAGTAGGTAAGATAGGTAAACAGTTCCACTATACACTTTCCAAAGCTTTTGGCCTCTTTTGTTTTTGTTTTTTTTTTTGGAGACAGTGTCTCACTCTGTCACTCAGGCTGGAGCGCAGTGGCGCGATCTTGCCTCACTGCAACCTCTGCCTTCCAGGTTCAAATGATTCTCCTGTCTCAGGCTCCCAAGTAGCTGAGATTACAGGTGCCCACCATCACACCCAGCTAATTTTTGCATTTTTAGTAGAGGCAGGGTTTCCCCGTGTTGGCCAGGCTGGTCTTGAACTCCTAACCTCAGGTGATCTGCCTGCCTTGGCCTCCCAAAATGCTAGGATTACAGGCGTGAGCCACTGGGCCCAGCCTTGGTCTCCTTTTTAAGGTATAACCATTTCCCAGACCCCCAGCCAGAACCACTTCCTCCCAGCAGCACCCAAAGGAGCTCATTGAGAGGCACCTTTCCTGCTGGGCCACTTTTTCTTGTTCTGACCATGGGAACCTTCGTCCAGGTTTGCAAATGTTCTCCTGAAGGACCGTGTCCCCTTGGAGGCTCTGAGGAAGAGGATTTGTTATTGTTGTTGCTGTTCCCACTGGTGATGGGGGCTAAAAGAAACAGGCAAGCATGGTTTGTTTCTTTTTTCTTTTTTTAGGCTTCCAGAAGAGCATCTTAAGGCCATCCAAGATTATTTAAGCACTCAGCTCGCCCTGGACTCTGAATTTGTGAAGACGGGGTCCAGCAGTCTTCCTCACCTGAAGAAACTGACCACACTGCTCTGCAAGGAGCTCTATGGGTAATGGCTGGCCCACGGGGGCGGGCAGGTGGGAGCGGCCAGCAGGCAAGAGAAACAGCTCATGAGAGCGACCTCTGCCTCTGCCTGGCTGAACAAATGCCTCTGCCGCACTCACAATAATTGAGTGGTGAGCACAGCTTAGAAATCTCTGTGGTTGTTTGGAGGTCTTGTTATCACGGAATTTGAACAGTAGCTTGTGTGTGCTGCAGCTTTTTGAAACTAAAGTTAATTGGAGGCCAGTTGCTCTGGGAAGCGGATGGGGTGGGAGGACATGGCCAGCCCTTTCTCACTTGCACAGGATCTGGCTCTTAAGATTTTTGCTGCTGCTCTTGCTATTTGCTGCAGCCGTTACACCTGACAAGCACAGAAAGGCACTGAAAGGAAATAAATTAAAGTCAGTCTATTTTCTGCGTGGGTTGTTATAGCCCAAGATTTCCAGTGATGTCAATTTTTCAAAGCGAGATGATTCACCAAAACTTCAATTTTCTGATATCCAATCCATTGAATGACCAACTGGTAAAGGTTCTGATTTCTTTTAGATTCTTTTGGTTTTACATTTTAAAATTTAATTGATGACCCGGGCGCGGTGGCTCATGCCTGTAATCCCAGCACTTTGGGAGGCTGAGGCGGGCGGATCATGAGGTCAGGAGATCAAGACCATCCTGGCTAGGATTGGCTAACAAAATGTAAAAAAAAAAAATAGCCGGTCCAGTCTGGCTAGGGAATGGCTAACAGGTAATAATCCCCGCCTCCACTAAACAGAATAAAAAAAAAAAAAAAAATACAAAAAATTAGACGGGCATGGTGGCAGGTGCCTGTAGTCCCAGCTTCTTGGGAGGCTGAGGCAGAAGAATGGTGTGAACTCGGGAACCAGAGCTTGCAGTGAGCCGAGATTGTGCCACTGCTCTCCAGCATGGGCGACAGAACAAGACTCCCTCTCAGGAAAAAAAAAAAAATTAATTGACGAAAGTTAATTACGTTTTAATTGTTAAAAGTGCAAAAGTAAGGCTAATATGCCGTCCAAAGAATTGACAAAGAGTATTTTAAATGCCAAAAGCTTGAAAGAGAAAAAAAAAAAACATTCCAGAGCATCTGAACAAAGTCACAGGGAGCCAAAACAATCCCATCACAAATGAAAGGTCAGGTTGGGTGTGGTGGCTCATGCCTGTAATCCCAACACTTTGGGAGGCCGAGGCGGGTGGATCACCTGAGGTCAGGAGTTTGAGACCAGCCTGGCCAACATGGTGAAACCCTGTCTCTAATTAAAAAAAAAAAAAAAAATTCGCTGGGCGTGGTAGCGCACACCTGTGATGCCAGCTACTCTGGCGGCTGAGGCAGGAGAATCACTTGAACCTGGGAGGCTGAGGTTGCGGTGAGCCAAGATCTCGCCACTGCACTCTAGCCTCGGTAACAGAGCAAGACTCCGTCTCAAGTAAACAAAGAAACAAACAAAAAAATGAAAGGTCAACATTTTGGTTAGAAAAATGGGATTTCATACTGGCAACGGTTTTTTAGTCTGTGCTGTTTTGTGTTTCATTACACATACAGAAGTTTCAAGATTCCTTTGTCGATTTCTCTGGGGCTATATCAATCTTAGCTTAGTTAGTATGCAGAAAAGAATCTTTTATCATCAGTAATCCAATTCAACTTTCCTTTTAAAGGCTTTTAAAAGCACAATCAGTACATTTGGTAAATTTAACAAATAATTTCTTTGACAAATTGAGCACTCACCAAATTGGCCAGTTGGGCTTCATTTCAATGAATTGGCTTTCAGCTAATGCAGCTGTAGCTAATTGGACCTGCAGCTATCATTTTCATAGATTTCCATGGAGGCATTTTGTTCCATTTGATGCTGTTGTTATGAATCACTTTATCGCTAGGGGAAAACACACACACACGGCACTTTCTCTTTGTAAAACACCATTTCACGATGGCTGATAACAGGCTCTTCGTTCTGCTTCGATGGAGATTTTGTTCTTCCCTGCTTCCTTGTGGAGAAAGAGATATATTTTAAGTCTCTCCACGAGGCTTCCCTCAGACTTCCCCAGACACTTCTGCACGTTGTTAGGTTTCCCTAACACCTCACTGCTCCCTGGACTTCCCAGGAGCCAAGTCACCTCATCACTACGGCGGCGGCAGCTTCCCCAACTTGCCTTCTTCTCAGGTACGTGGTGCCGATGGAGAGAACTTCCTTCATCTTCTAGCTGCTCCATGACTCTGTTCAGAATTAAAGACACTGTCATGCTCTAAATTTCCCTTGCGCACTTGTCTTTGCTTTCATCGGTAAAGCGACTGTCAGGCTTGGAGACTTGATCAGCCTTGGAATTTTAGGAAATCGTAGAAAGGAACAAAATGATACTTCCCATTTCTCCTCCCAGAATCCCTGCAGATTCTCATCCCTGAAATTGTAAACCTGTAATTTTCAAACCGCTTTGATTGGAATCGGTCTTCATTCATCCGTTCATTGAACAAACATGTATTGGAGGCCTCCTCTGAGCCCTGTTCTGGGTGCTGGGATGTAGCAACAGACACAATGCACAAGGCTCTCGCTCTTGTAGGCCTTTTTGGATCTAACGTCTCAGCATCTCAGTAAGGAGCACAACAGTAGATTAAGGATCCATATGAACAAGATTTTTTTTTTTTTTTTTTTTTTTTTGAGACAGAATCTTGCTCTGTCACCCAGGCTGGAGTGCCGTGGTGAGATCTCAGCTCACAGCAGCCTCAACTTCCTGGGCTCAAGTGAGCCTCCCACCTCTCAGCCCCTATCCTGAGTCCTCCCACTCACTTGCTTCCCCCGACCCCAACTGAGAAGCTGGAACTACAGGTGTGTGCCACCATACCCAACTAATTGTTGTGTTTTTTGTAGAGATGGGGTTTTGCCTTGTTGCCCAGGCTTCTCTCCATTTCCTAGGCTCAAGCAACCTGCCTTCCTCGGCCTCCCAAAGTGCTGCGATTACAGGCATGAGCCACCATGCCCAGTTCAAATTTACTAAAACAATAATTTTAGTAAACGTCATGATAAGATAAAACAGGATGAGGTGAGGAAGAGACATTGGGTGGGAGAGTGCCAGCTTCCTTTGGAGGTGAGGGAGGTGACAGAACTGGGATCTTGGTGGCAGGAGGGAGCTAGCCACCCAGTGATTTGGCAGAGGGACATTAAGTACAAAGTACAAAGGTCCTGAGGCAGGAATGAAGACAGCCTGCTCAAGGAATAGGAAGTCCGTGTGGCAAGTCAGTGTTAGGAACTTACCTACCACAAGAGGTCGGGGAGAAGCTGGTGTAACATGGCCAGAGTCATCAAGTAAAAGCACAGGCTGCCCAGAGAGGTGGAATTTTAGGTGAACAGCAACTTCTTTAGTATAAGTATATACCATGTAATATTGGGATATACTCATGCTAATAGATTATTCATTGTTTATCTGAAATTCAAATTTCACTGGATGTCCTGTGTTTTACCTGGTCACTGTAGGCAGGAGCCACATCACGCAAGGCCTTATGAGGCCCTGTAGAGTTTGTGCAGGGCTATGCCATGATCTGATTTCGAGTGGTGGAGGATGAATCCTAGGAGGCCCTGCCCAAAGCAGGACCAACTGGGAGTGGCTGTGGTTGTCCAAGTGAGACGGGATGGCAGTCCATGAGGAAGGTGGCTAGCAGGGGCAGGGGTCTGTGTCTGTTTTGCTTCCTGCTGAGTCTCACATTATACACAGGCTCCAGCACATGTAGCTCAACAGATATTAGGTAAATGACCCAATGGTTAGGGGCGTGCAGATGCTGAGAACTGGTATGACCTGGGACATGTGTGCATGGCAGAGGTGTCAGACCTGCCGCCTGATTGGATGTGGGGTGAAGGGAAGATGAATCTAGGGTGATCCCTGGGTTCCCAGTGTGAGTGGCTGAGTGGATGCTGATGCCAGTTCCTGGGATGGGGAAAGTCAAGAAGGAGGAGGAAGGAGAGGTTGGTGGGAGGAGAGTTCTGGGCTACATTTGACTTGAGGGGCCATGAGGCATCCGAGTGGAGTCACCAACCATGGAGCTAGTGCTAAGAAGCTAGGATGTGGGGGATGCATTTGGGGAATCATGGGGGATCCTTTTGGGGAATCATGGGAGATGCATTTGGGGAATCACTGAAAGCTGGGGGTAAGGTCACTGCAGGTGAGAGTGTGGACAAAGGAGAATAGGGCCAGGCTCAAGATTTAGAGGAGGGACGGAGAAGGAGGAGCTGGGAGGGGGTTGAGAATGGCATCAATGATGTCCAGGTCTATTTGCTCAGACCTAAGTATGAATGAGAAGGACGTTGAGCACTGAGGAGTGAGGAGAAGTGCCGAAGCCTCCTCTGCAGAAATGTCATGATAATGTCCCTGCGAGGGTCTGGTGTAAAGATCTCTTTGCAGTACAAAGCATCAGGCAAGATTTATAACCCTAGGTTAGGTTTCCTAGAGCCGGACAGAAACTTTTCCAGAGAGAGAGAATAAGGAACCAGAGACTGGAAATATTTGGTAACTCCTGAAATGCAGACACGGAAAGGATTGCAAGTGGAATTTTAAAATAAAAGATCAACGGTCTGAATATCAATACAATATCTATTACATGAGAGCAGGATAAGATTTTTAATAAACCAAAACCAAAAAGACTTCATTACCATTATAACTGTTTCATTGGAGGCCATAAAATAAGCCCATAGTTTTCCAATCAAATTTCAAAAATTAAATCACAAAACAGAGTAGAGTGTCAGAAACATGTATATCAAAAGCATGAAAGGACTAAACAAGCCGAGATGAGGAATATGTGGTAAAAATTGACAGTCCTTGGAGACAGACCTCAGAGGTGCTACCTGTAGCTAGTAGGATAGGTTCTCGAAGAAGTAGGAAAAAGATTGCGAATTAATGTATACAAAAAAAAAAAAACATTTCCAGGCTTACAGAAGAGCTAAATCTAGGTTTGAGAAGCTCCATAATCATCCAAATAACACAACAATCAAACAGCAACACTTGAACGTCTTC